ACTGTGAAAATTCGAATCTTTTCGAACCTAATTCAATACTTAAAACTGAAGCTCTTGAATCTTGAGTTCTTAAAGTTCCGGTATGTCTTGAAAGCTTGGTAAATACTCAATATCTTACATGAGTATTCATTATCCTTAATATTTCATGTTAATGATACTGCTTGTTCACGAAGCTTTCAAGTCCTATGAAAACTTTCAAGACTTTCAAGAGTTTCAAGTTTATCAAGGCGTATTGAAACATTAAAGACTCAAGATTTCTCAAGACTCAAGATTCAGGACTTATCGAGACTTTCGGGACGTACCGAAACATAGAAGACTCAAGATTCAAGACTTATCAAGACTTTCGAGACGTACTGAAACATAGAAGACTCAAGACCTCTTAAGACTGAAAATTTAAGACTTATCAAGACTTTCAAGGCGTACTGAAACGTAGAAGACTCAAGACCTCTCAAGACTTATCAAGACTTTCAAAGTGTGTTGAGACCTAAAAGACTCAAGACCTCTTAGAACTCAAGATTCAAGACTTATGAAGACATTCACGAGTCTCAATTATCGAATCATATCTGAAGCGATTCGAAGTGTCTCAAAGCCCATCCTTATGCCCAATACAACGGCGTCCTGTACACCTTCCCAAAAATTGATCAATCAGTTAACGCTACAAGACTTAATTCTCCACCGTACGTGTATGCACGCGACCGGTATTATCGTCGAAAACAATAATTCAAGCGCAAAATACCGTAGACGTGGTAATTTATCTCGCGGTCCACTTATATCTCCGATGATATCGAAGATCGTGATCTGGCTACGGAGCGCGAGAATCGAATGCGGTCTAACGGTGGGTGGTGTATAGAGAGAGGGGGGATCATGAATTCTCTACCGTGCAGAGGTCGGATAGCGGCCGACTTAATCCCCTGTTGACTTATAGGGCCCGCCTATGTGGAAGAACAAATGAATAAATTAGGGCGGGGTCGTTTGGTAGCCGATGTACGGCCCTGAAGATTTATAGATACCCAATACCAGTTCCTCTGGTTTGGTTACACGCTGCTTCTGCCCGTTCCACCCTCCTCTTTTTCGCCTTGATCCGAAGTAAACGCGGCGGAAGAGGCAAGGGGTGGCGCCACTATTTATGCTAATGACACCTCGACGAACGTTTACGGGTCCCAGATTTGGACATCGAGGCGAAAAAAATCGCGTCATTGTTTGTACTTTGCTAGTTCCCAGAGAAAAATAGAGACGTGAATGGGTCGCAAAGTATCTCGAACGACTCAATTGAAGAGTCAAAGGAAAAAAGGATAAGTGTCCATTTTTTCCTTATTATGATGTTTGAATACACATGGATATATTATTTATTGTAGAATTCAGATTTGTATTTGGAAATAGGAAAGAGATGAAAGTTCCAAGTTATTACCAACTAAACGATAATAGTATTTATGTGGGGAAAAGGATTAGGGTATTGGTGTTTGTATGGAACAAAGATGAGAGTGTGCTTTGTACAGTGTCTTTGTGTTGTGTTAATATATTTTTTAAGCGTGACTGTAAAGTAGGTGTTAATTAATTTAATAATGCTTGGAGAATCAATATAACTCTTCAATGTTTAAAGTTTGTTTTACCCGAAGTAACATTAAATGGACACTCATCCTTCCTCCTCTACACTCTTCAATTCAACGTTTGTGAATATTATGGTGGGAAGCAATAATTTTGTGTTGGTTATCCTGGTGACTTTATTTAGTGACAGAATGAGAATGGAAGAGATAAAGGTGTTAAAATTTTGATTTTTAGGAGGATTTTGTAAGCTAGTGGTCGTAATACGGTTAAAATGGCGTGATAATTAATTGAAAATTCGAAAAATGATACTATGCAGGAATTCCAATGGGTCCAATTATTCCAGCCTTATAAAAGAAAATAAATTTAGTCTTCTACTACCCTCAAAAATTTAAATAAAATTTGGAAATTACATTTAAATGCAAGCAAAGTCATAAACGGTGCTAGGAGTTCGTTGAAATACATTTAAAGTGCGCTTAGACAATGTTCACTAAAACAGTAAAGCTTGGTATGCCGTAAAATATTATACTTAAAAATTAAATATAGTATTATGAAGTGTTTTATTAAATTTTTATATCAAAGTGCCTCACTAATTCGTCAAATAATTTGAAAATGATGCTTACCCCTATATAACTCCATGTGACTTGAAAGTTACATATCCATTTATCTACAGGGTGTCCTAACATTTTCCTATACTACTGCATTGTTGTATTATTATATTGTTACCAGTCAATTTCTTATCTGCTTTCCACCATTTACAAATATATAAAACTGCAATTAACTGTAATTTCTTTCGTGACAAACAAAGATAAATCGTGGTGTATAGGGTTAAGCGAGTAGAAAAGAAAGACGTATTATGTTTGCAAGAATTGAATGGCAATACGCAGCTACGTTATTGGGATCCTGGACGTAAGTTTCGAAGGGTCGAAGAAAAAAAGTATCCAGTCAGGTCTCGATGTCTCGGCAGGAACACGTATACATGCTTCTAGGCGTGCCCTGTGCACGATCACCATAACCAATAATGCCCGAAAATATCTCGGATGCGACGATGACGATGCAATTCGTGAACGGACTAATCCTTCCGTGGCTTACCATATTTTTCCATACAATAAGTAACCCTCCGTTCGATCTACCGTTCTTTTTTTTTTTCACCTAGGTATTACTTATTTTTCTTCTTCCCCTCTCTTCGTCTTTTTCTTGTTAGAGCTTCAATTCTCCTCGGCTACGACGAACAAATTATTTGTGGCCATTCGAGGTATCCCATTTTTCTTTTAATCTAATACGTTGTCGAGGGTTACAAAGTATCGGTTTAAAATTAGAAAAAAAGAAGGAGAGACAATTTTAAGGTTACAATGAAGAAAATGAAATACGTGGCTGAAATTATGAGTTTCGCCAGAATAGTCGCAAGTGTGTACTGTAATTAAAAAATTGTGAACATTCAACCGAACGTTTTGCTTGTAGAAAGCTTCTGAATGTGATTTATAAATTACTGGTAAGAAAGAAATATATTTGAAAATCAGAATATTAGTATATCATTCTGCACAAACTATAGGCTTTAAATCAAGTGAAGAAACGTGGCAATCTCCTTGTTGAATGGTTAAATATGGAATGAACCAATTCGAAACGAAACTAAAACTATCTCATCACTAGAAAAATGGGAAATAAATTTGAAAAATTTATGAAATTGTAACGCTTATGTTATTCAAAAATAAGGTAAATTTTGTAAGTTCGCAGTGGGGTTGAAGCAATTAGAGTTATCCATTTTGAAAGAGTTTCGATAACTATTTTTATTCAAACTAAATTAGCAACATTATATAAAATCGTATGAAAACATTAACAAGTTTTATCTTTTTATCAGTTCCGCTGGCAATTGATTGACAGGCGCACGTGACAAACCTATCCAAAGCAACTCACAGGGAGCTGATACTCGAAATCATTTGATTTTAGTAGATTTCTGCAGGTTTCGAAAGATTTCAATCGATGTTATTAGAATACAGTAGATTTTAATAGATTTTAAAAGGTTTTAGTAGAGTTTAGTAAATTTTGGTAGATTTCAGCGAAGTTCAGAAGATTTCAGTATGCTTCACATGCCTAATACTTATGAAAGGAAGTGTATTTACAATTCACGTCATTCCAGCGCATGTGGTTAACAATTATTTCCCAAACTCTCGTTCATTTAGGTCCTACTTCTAAATTCTTCTATCACTACCTTCATTCTCACGAAACCAATCACCAAACAAGATCTCATTAGAAGATCCGGATACTGTTTCGCTTGTAAATCGCTCATATTTTTCATCCCGGAGACAACAGCCGGAATCGTGTGATCCGTTTCCTGGTGTTGGCGGCCGAATATCAAAGGGCTCGAGTCATTTGTAGGGTGAGGGAAGCCGCGGGACTGAGACATCGAGATAATCTCGACGTAATCTGCCGTTCGAATCGCGAGAGATCGAGCGACCCTTAAACCGTGGCCCGCGCTGCTGACGCGCTGCAAGGGACATCGGAGTGGCAGAGTAGTATGTTAATGAGGACAGGACCATCGGATTCTCGTGCACGGAGGTCCTGAATGAACCTGCAGCCCCGACCAAAATAGCACCTTGTCTCTCCCTCTTTCTCTCTCCTCTTCCTTTCCCTCTTCGTCAAATTCTCGCTTTCTGCGAGAGGTGAAAGAGAAACCTCGCTGTTAGCTGAGCGTTAATTTACCACGAAAACGTTTCGACGATGAACCAAGCAGATTTAAGTCAATCCAAAATGTTAAACAGCTTCTGTAATTTTTTTTAATTTATATTCTGTAAAATAGAATTATTATTATTTTAACCCTTTGTCTTGCGATTTTTTTACGGCTATATATTCTGGCGTTAGTATTAGGACATCCACATTCAAATTTGGAAGTTTGGCAAACTGAAAATTTAAAAAAATTTGGAACTTTGTAGAAATGTAGTTCAAGTGATGCTAATAGCGAAACCATTTGTTGTTTCGTCGATGAAACAGTAGAGAACACCTCAAAGAAATTGTGAGTTCTCATATTATCGTAAATATTTACAAGATATGGGAAAAGAAGTTAAATTGAAATTTGTATGGTTTTTAATATACTACTGTCTAATTGTGGCGGTAAAGAATTTTCGAAAAAACGTGGTGGGGGCAAATTTTCAAAATTCTTATAAGAGGCAAAGAAAATAGAAGTCAGGTTGGTAAATAATTCTAGAGACTACAGCAAAATAAACACAGAAAATTGTTCCAAATAAACTTCGAAATTTTGTATTCTCAATGTGTCGGAATTTGAATAACAAAAAAAGAAATAGGATTTAAATAATTCTTAAGTTTGATTAAATTCTCGTACATTTTCATTCAGTTATTGTTTAAACCTTGCGAGTTTTACACGTTACACCTGAAAATCGTAGAAATTTCTTCCACGACAGCGAGTAATCTGAAACTTTCACGAGAATTTTGTTCCTTTTCAGAACCTTCGGTGCAAAATGTGCGAAATGTGGTCGAAGCGTGGGCGCTGGGGACTGGGTGAGAAGGGCCAGAGAAAGGGTTTATCACTTGGCTTGCTTCGCTTGCGATGCTTGTTCCCGTCAGCTGTCCACGGGGGAGCAATTCGCCCTGTTGGACGCCAGGTTGCTCTGCAAAGCTCACTATCTGGACGTCGTTGAGGGAAACAATACCTCGTCCTCGGAGGACTGTGACTCTGAACACGGTGGCAAAGGCAGCAAGACAAAGAGGGTCAGGACAACTTTCACGGAGGAGCAGCTTTCGGTTCTGCAGGCGAATTTTCAGTTAGACAGCAATCCCGATGGCCAGGACCTCGAGAGAATAGCTCACGTCACCGGGCTGAGCAAAAGAGTGACGCAAGTCTGGTTTCAAAACTCGAGGGCCAGGCAGAAGAAGCACAGCGGAAAGATAAAGACGCAAAGTGAGTATATCTCACCGTTCGTTTTCAAGTACGAATAAAAAATGTTGGTTTTGTTGTTAACCACGTAAATTTCGATTCATCGATTGGAAGAAATTTTTGAAGAAAGATAATATTTTGCGGTCATGGTGCATGGTTTCATACGTTTTCTTCTCGTTTTCGAACACGTTTCTTTCTTTAGAGCCGCGTCGCTCATACTTTCTGGGCTCTAGAGTAGTTTTTTTGATCATAGGTGATCTCAATAGTTTGAATAACGTACAATACTTACTTATTGCTTCGTATTTACCGTTCATAAAAGTGTTTATTCTAACAAATGCAGTGTTTATTTTATGTCAGAATTCAGAAAAAAGAGCACGACGCGTGGTACAACCGGACAGGGTGCTTCTATATACAAACATAAACCGAAAATAAAGAATAACATTGTTTTGTTTTGAAGTCTTGGTTTCAAGAAAGTCGAATTTTAATATCTATCGAGTTTGCGTACACTTGACTATCTCTGGGCTTCATGTTTATACCAATAAGCAGTACCAATGTCATTGACGATTTTATTACTCTACGTGTACATTACTGAATGAACTATTGAAAGTGACGTCCTTGTTGACACATCAAAATTCTTGCTCTTCGATTCAGAAAGTCGTGAACTGATGCCTCGCCGTTTTGACGCTTTAACTGTTCGAAAACCTGAACAATTCTTCCTTTGAGCTGGAGAAGGTTTGCACCATTTCTTTGCGAAATGTGACATTACCGCTATTTATCAACGTGAAAGTGTGAGCGGAAGCAACAGTTTGTAGGGAATCTTTAAATTCAATTTTCTCGAATACTAGACTTCCTTTGAACAAATTTCATTCTTTACTTTCTGTTTATTTTTACACGTAGTACCACCCTCTGCCCTGTATACAAATGAATCGACTCTGTCAACAGTTTTTATTAAACGTGGATATATGTTTATCATGTTCTAAGAAATTAGCTTCTCCTTTACATAATTTTCAATCCTGATTTTAAAAAAGAAACACTTAATTCTATGTCCAGTGCACCACTCACCACCGATGCAACATCATCCAGCAGAGTTGTATCCCTCCGGTGTGAACATGGTGGGCGCCTATTTGGGGGGATATCAGGGTGGCAGCGCAGGAAGCGAGAGTCCTGGCAGTCCACTGACACCTCTCACCCCTTTAACACCTCTAACCCCAACGACACCGAATCACCTTCAGGCCCAATTCTGTCATCAAACGGGGTAACTTTACGATAGACACCATTCGTGAAACTGGTGATTATATCTCAATTTTAGCTCGGTTCTTTATCGATTGTTTCGAAGGCGTTTCTCGTTTTCAGTGTAAAATTTTCGATTTGAATCTTGAAGAACTCACAGTGACGATCAGAGAACCAAGAGCACGAACATTTCTAGGACTTCAAAGAGTGTGACTTGATTGATAACGGAAATTTTGATAATTCCTTCGTTATTTCGATTTCTGACGAATTTTTCAATCAGCACAGATCTATGATGTATTCGAGAAGATTCGATATCTTCCGAGGTGAAATTCTTTTTGAATCCTAGGACAAAGAACGAACTCACGTGAACCTTGACATCTGAGATAATCGAGGTGTTATCTCATTTTTTTTTTTTTTGTACATACCAAAAAGAAACTGTTTAAAGCGAAGAGAGAAGTAAAAGTGATACTACGAATAGGTTTAGGATTCCGTGGTGAGGATTCTAGTTAACGAATAGACGAAACGACGATTATTTATTCCGTTTTTTAGTTGTATAAGTTGTAACTCGCATTTATGCTTGATTCTCTTTCGTATAGCAAGTATTTTCTAACGAGCCTCATTTTCGAGGAAGTGCAATCGAATGCGAAATGGAATTTCAATTTTGATGCTGTTCGCGGGAATTTCCTCTCTTACAATTTTAGCAATTGTCTGATTAATTTCATTTGTACAAAGTAAGCAGTTTACTAAACTTATTAAATTTCTATCACACTAACCTCTAATCGTAAAAAAGGAGACAACAATGGCTAAGTATTTTCGATTCTGTTAGAAATTTTCGTTGCATTTCTTTTCGACGATAAACTTGCGACATCAAATTTTCATTTCTTTTTTTCAACAAAATTTTAAGACATTCGTGCGATTCAATTTTTTTAAAAAACGATAACGTTTCTCGGTGGTATCTTTTCAATTCTCACGATTCGCGTGTCCTGTGGACTGTTTTATTTTTAAAATGAAATTGTACATAGACGTATCTCGTAGCTTTTGTATATAAATCTCAAAGAAATTGTGCATGAGTATTTGATATCGCTCCCATGCTGTACACTCATTACCGCAATACTGTAAACCGTACTGTTATTAATAAAAATGTCTTTTACTGTTTATGCCTGTTACGATTCCTAGCCCCAAAAATCCTCACATTACACCAATTATTCACATTTCGATGATACAACCTGTGTTTCTTCTTATTGCACTTACATTCGTGCGGTATTAACCCTTTCATGATCACTGGGACGCATATATCCCACTTAAGAACTCGAATAAGAACGATTTCAATTCAGAATTAGCAGATAAATAAACAATTGTTCGAAAAAATGATTCCATCACGAAAGGGTAAACAAATGCGTATAAGTAGGTGTCTATATATTTAAAAATGGTAAGAAACAAAGAATATTAGCGACAAATAATAGCGAAAAATTTTCCTAGGTTGAAATATGATTAATAATTTCGGTATTTCTGTAGGGTAGGAAATGAACGTGGAAACGAATAAATATGTGCAACATTTTATATTGTATATATACTTAGTTTACAATATTTACATCACAGTACATGTATATTAAATAATGATCCTTTTACGATTACACAATTAATTACCTAAACATTGTAAAAGATACTTTCATTCGGAACATTGCTTTCTGATGTTCCCCGAGATTATGGGTGCTCGAGTCAACAGGAAACGAGGCGCCATCAAGTTCTGGGGACACCGGACGACTCTGATTTCTCGTTCGTGGTAATCTTACACTCGACTTTATACGTTTTATTAAAACGATCGCCTGATTATATCAGGGAATTCCGCGGTTCGATGAAAGTGAGAACAATCGGCGTCTATCGTTCTCCCAGAAAGAAGGAAAATTACATTTGTCACTTCTTTTCCATCGCGAAGGATATTCGATTTCGTTTCATTCGACGAACTTCTGTTGAGCCTTTCAAGACTCACGATTAACCCTTTCCATTTCAATCTGATTGCAAAGATCGTATAACAGTATCAAATGTATGCTGTTAGATTGAATTTTAAAGGATAGAAAATTCATTTGTTTTTATCTGGACAGTTTTAGTGGTAAACGAAACAGAATGTTTAAAAAACTGAGAATTTGAAGCACATGTGATCTCAATTTTTCAAATACTAAGTTGTTTATAAAGTTTGCTGCGACACAATAAATCTTTATTCTTGTACTCGTTATTTCGAGAAGTTTCTTTTCATACGTGTATGAAATTATTAATTTTGACAGCTTTGTTCATGTTCCATGATTCTCATTGCAACTAAGCTCATTTAGAAATTTGACAAAATTTCAAGAATTAGTTCTCACAATTTCATGGAAGTTTTAAAATGATAAATTAAGAAGATTCCAAAAGAATGCAGTTTAATGCCGAAACTTTCGAACGTGTTGAACGTATCTCTTAGAAATCGTTCAAAAATTTTTCACTAACAAATAACAATTTCGAATTTCCTTTTTTTTTTTTCTAAGAATTAAGTACTTCCTTCTATTGTACAAATGAAGAACAAGATTTTTCATTTTTGCAAAAGAGCGAATCATTTCGGTGAACTATTGGCATCGAAAGAAATATGGAAAGGGTTAATTCGTTAATTGCGCTAGAAGGGAGTTGACAACAAATTGATCTTCA